AAAAAAGGGGGGGGGGGGGGGGGAGGGGAAGAAGACTTAACAACTACAATTCCTTGAAGTTGATACGACAGGCAAACAGAAAGGACATTGTTGCGTGGGAGGGGGGAGAGGGAGGAGGGAGGGGGGTTTCGGTGATGGGCCCAATAATCAACCACATTGTATATCGACAAAATAAAATAAAAAAGAACAAATAAATAAATAAATAAAGATTCTTTCTGCCAAGTTCCTGCCATGCTTCCTTAGAGAGATGCTTATGGGGAGAGGCCACTCCAGGTGAAAAGGAGGTACAGTGTGTGCTTCTTGCATGGTGCCCACCCTCCCATCCTGTGTTGGTCACCTTGAGCCAGGAGGATGAGTCCACTGATGATGATGATGGCCACGATCACCAGCTTGGCTGCTGTGAAGACATTCTGGAGGTAGCTGCCTAGCCGCACGCTCAGTGCATTCACTGTTGTGATGAACACTGGAAAGGGTCAGACGTGATGTTCTGTGTTTATGGTTTTCAGCAAGGCCCTGGAAAGCCTCCTTTCTGTTCTTACATTCCCCTCCTCCCCCCGCCCTGCCATTTATCTACTGATAAATGAGGGCAGATCCAAACAAGGGAGTTTAAGGACCTTTCAAATACACCTCATGATGACCTTTGAGATCAGCAGGGGCTGCCTCAGAAAGCAAGGGAGAAGTGGCTAGGTCCTGAGCCAAGAGCCTCAGTCTGCCATGGCCCCTCCCTGCATCCCCAGACAAGTCCAGATGTGGCTTGGCAGGTGACACCTGCAGGGAAGGCAGAGGCCAATGCCAGACCCTGCCCCACCTCACACCAGAGCCTCCAGGCCATGGTCTCTTTTGAGTCATGGAGGAGCCCAAGCCAGAGTCTCCCTGACATCATCTGTGCCAGGTCTTTTTTGACCCCTGCTTGGGGTTTCAAGCTTGGGTACTCACAGATGGCAGTGGCAGCCAGGCATTTAATGACAATGTCAGGAGGTTGGCAGCCTGAGTAGAAGGGTGCAGAAACATACGTGGAAAAGCTGAGGCAGATGATGGCAAAGGATGCAGGCTTCATGACTATCAGGCTGGTCCAGGAAAAGAGGTAGGCGGGAATGGGGCCAAAGGCCTCCATCAGGTAAGGGTACTCGCCCCCTGACTTGGGGATCATCGTGCCAAGCTCTGCAAAGCATAGAGCACCTGGAACACAAAGGAGGCTCCTCATCCCTCAGGCTCCTTGTAAGGCATGGCCCCAGAACAAGGGACCCTTCCTCCTCTCTGGGGGCTGTGCTTACAGGGACCCACCGTGGTCTTCTCTCCCGGGACAGCCCTGAGTTCTGCCATCAGACATTTAGCCACAGCTCGATTTGCACTTATTTGCCACACATGCATGGAAAGGGAGCCCAGCAGTGGCAGATAGTGCTTGCATAGCTTGTGCCCCGCATATTCAACAGGGAGAGGTCGCCAGGGAGCAGCATCTGTTACCCAGTGTTGCAAGAATCCCACAGGCTGCCCATATGATGAGACAGGGCCCCACAGCTTCCGCATTGCTGAGCACAGACTTGGGGGAGATGAAGATCCCAGAGCCGATGATGGTGCCCACGATGATGGAGATGCTGCTGAGCAGGCCCAACTTGGATGGGGAGGAAGGAAGGGAGGGTTAATGCTGCCAGCAGGACCCAGCTCGGAGGGCAGGACATGAGCCCCTAGCCCCTGCTGGGTATGGCCAATGCAGCCCCAACCGAACCCCCTGCCCAGGCACTTTTGCCCTGTGCTGTTGCAGTGATAACACGAGGGCACTGTTCCCAGGGCTTTGTTTGTACAGTCCCATGAGTAGGGTATACCAGATCACCCCCATTTTATAAGGAGGAAACTGAGGCACAGCAAGGTTAAGTTACAGCCAGAGGGGTAGACCTGGCTCTGGTTCCATTCTCCCAACTACAGCCCTCACTGCCCTCAACAGAAAGGCTGAGTTAGCAAACAGATCACTAGCAAGGCAGGCCCTCGGGATTCGCCTGTCAGCTGAGCAGAAAGGCAGGCACTCCACCCCAGCAAAGGTGCGGTCAGCCTTGGCATCCCGGCCGGAGGGGCCATGTGGGGTGAGCAGTGGGGCCCCCAGGGGCTGAAACATTTGGGAGCTGAGAACTCTCTTTGATGCCACTTTCTAGGGTGTAAGATTTTCAGAACAAAACTCGGCCCAGGTATACACAGGATGATCACATTCCTACGAAGTTCAAGAACAGGAAAAACTAACCCACAGTGATAGAAATTCAGGGCTGGGGGCTCTGCCTGGAAACGGGCAAGAGGGAGCTTTTTTGGATGATACATTTGTCAAAGCTCATCAGACTGAGCACTGTGCCTTTCACTGTATGTAAATTTTACACCAATATGGAGCATGAAGTGAACAATGTCTGTGTTTGCTCGTCTGGGCTGGGGCTGTACTGAGAATTAGATCCCAGAGGACGAGTAAGATCCCGCTGCAGGCTGGCTGCCCAGGGGACTCAGCACACACTGGTGGAGTCCCTGGGGAGCAGTGCCAGCCTCCATTCCAGCCTCAGGGCCAGGGAGCCTCCCAGGCTGGGGCGAGGGCAGTTCGAGCTTTCCTCCTCTCCTCGGTCCTCCTCAGGGCTGACGGTGTGGCTCACTGACATCTGGGCCCCTCCAGAGTCCCTCCCGCTGAGGGACCACCTGGTTCTGATTCAGACAAGGTCTGCATTCATCCCGAAGCTGCCTGAGTTTAGAACATGCCTGGCGTTTGCTCAGCTGTGCTCTGTGTGGCTGAAGGGCCACCAGGGTTCCAAGAGGACATCACTGGAGTCAGGCCTGAGACCAGCAGAGAGGGAGGGTGTTGCTGCCCATCACCTGACTCCCAGGGACCCACGATCCCAGGCCAATACATGGTCAGGCCCCAAAGCCTCAGTGCCATCCCTCCTCTGTGCCCCCTGTCGCCAGGCCAGGAGCTCCCGGAGGCCCCAGCCAGACCTCAGCCCCCTCATGCTGTCCTTGAAGCCATCCTGAGCTCTCTGTGGACCCTGCTTGTCTCCTCCTATAAGCCTGAAGCCCTGAGACTGGCACAGTGTGGAGTGCCAAGCTCCTTTCTGCCTCCATACCACCCCCAAATCTCCCCTTCCTTCCAGGTCCCAGGCCAGCCCCGTCTCCTAGCTATGTTCCACCTTAGTGTATGCCTACGTCAGACTCACCATCCAGCTAGACCCATCTAGGACAGGACGGGCGACTGCTGGAGGCAGTAGGTTTTCTATCACCACCAATATTCAAACATCAGAGGGAGATATTTGGAGAAGATGCTGTACAGGGGACCTAAGCATCAGAAGGCCCTCTCTGACCATCCCTGAAAAAGCCATTGGTTTGAGCAAATACCTTCCCCTCTGGCCCCATCTGTCCAGTTGCACAGAAGCACACATGTATGAACTTCAAAAGAATATGCTGAGTTCGTAGGCAAGAGGTAAAGAAGTCAGGCCAGAGAGTTATTCACTTAAAGATGTACTTTGCTGGGCCGGCCCGGTGGCGCACTGCTACAGTGCGCCGCTTGGGAAGCGCAGCGGCGCGCCCGCCGCGGGGTCGGATCCCACTTACAGACCGGTTCCCGCTCACTGGCTGAGCAAGGTGTGGGCGCAGCGCCGACGGTTGCGATCCCGTTGCCGGTCCCGGTCCGGTACGGGTGCGACACGGAGGGTTGCGATCCGTTGCCGGACACGAAAAAAAGACAAAAAAGGAAAAAAAAAAAAAAAGATGTACTTTGCTGGGCCGGCCCGGTGGCGCACTGCTACAGTGCGCCGCTTGGGAAGCGCAGCGGCGCGCCCGCCGCGGGGTCGGATCCCACTTACAGACCGGTTCCCGCTCACTGGCTGAGCAAGGTGTGGGCGCAGCGCCGACGGTTGCGATCCCGTTGCCGGTCCCGGTCCGGTACGGGTGCGACACGGAGGGTTGCGATCCGTTGCCGGACACGAAAAAAAGACAAAAAAGGAAAAAAAAAAAAAAAGATGTACTTTGCTGGGCCGGCCCGGTGGCGCACTGCTACAGTGCGCCGCTTGGGAAGCGCAGCGGCGCGCCCGCCGCGGGGTCGGATCCCACTTACAGACCGGTTCCCGCTCACTGGCTGAGCAAGGTGTGGGCGCAGCGCCGACGGTTGCGATCCCGTTGCCGGTCCCGGTCCGGTACGGGTGCGACACGGAGGGTTGCGATCCGTTGCCGGACACGAAAAAAAGACAAAAAAGGAAAAAAAAAAAAAAGATGTACTTTGCAAGTCAAAAATCATATCTACTGTATAGCAAGGTGACTAGAGTTAATGATGATATATTGCACTCTCGAAAAATGTAGAGTGGATGTTATAAGCTCTTACTACAAAAATAACCGTGAGGAAACGCATCTGTTGATTAGCTAGAGTTAACCATTCCACAGTGTGCACGTACTTCAGAATATCATGTTGTATGTGATAAAAACACAGTATCTGCCAATTAAAAAAAATTAAAAATAAAAACAAAAGAATTATCATTCAAATACTATCATGTGTAATGCTGTAATACTGTAGGCAATTTTGGGAGATTCAGCTGACTTTATATTGCTTGCATAATAATTTCCATTTAAAACAACTGAAAATTTGATCTGAATTTCAGAAAATAAAGGAAATAGTCAAAATGGAAAAAGAAAATCATATCTTTGGTTGGTTGGTCACTAGGGACAGCGGGGGACCTCCCCACGTGACCTGGGAAGGGCCCGCCTTACCTCTTTCTGGAGAGCTGTGGTCTTGGGTTCATTACTCTGGATCGACTTCTCATCCTCTCTCCGTTTTCTCAGGTTTGTCTCCATTTTTCCCTCCTGCTCGTTCCAGGAGGCTGTGAGGAGGGCATGGGCCGATCTTGATTCAGCAGCGGGCAAGGTGAAAGGCTCTTCTCGCTACCGCTGCTGCATCAGGGGGGCTGGGAACGGACTCCAAAAACAAATGACTCGCTAATGTTTCAGGAAAGCACAGCTGTCAGTTCCTTGGGGAAAATTTGCTCAGCCCCAGGAGTAAAAATAAGTCAATAGCATTCAGGCCTCGGGGAGCTCTTTTACAAGGCTCAGCTGTCTCCTGTCTCACCTGCCTGTGTTATCATCTCCTAATCCTCAGCAGGACATTCTTGCAAGGTGTTCTACCTCCACGGTCCCACTTCATTTTTTTTTTTTTCAAAAGTAAAAAGAAATATTTTTAAACATAACTGGAATATACTTAGCGGAATCAAGTCCGAAGAAGGAATATTTTTCCTGTAATTCCTTCCCAGAATAAGGGCACCTCACATGTAATACATCCACAGTATAGGTGCTTTTTCCTTGAGTGATGCAAAGATTGAAAAAAATTGCTGAGGAAAAATTAGTTCAAGACTGAGCTAGGAGATGGTCATGTACTGGACTCTCTCTAAGTAAATTCTCTGCCCAGGCCTCAGCCCAAAGAGCCTTTCCTCCACCCTGCCAGCCTTACCTTCCTCCCTGACCTTGCAGAGCCAGAGGAGCTGCCGGCCCCGCTGACCAGCTGGCTGCGTCTGCACAGTTGAGGCCTAGGAATGGCCATGTCTTGTGTCCAGGAGTGAAGGAAGCCAGAAGGTACAGAGGTCAACAAAGGTAATTATTAAACACTTTTTTTTAAAGCAATGAAGCTTAGATACACCATACACAAAAGGGAGGGGTCAGGCAAGCCAGTTTCTCTCCGAAAATGTTTGTTCATTTTTAACTAGATTATTTTAAAACCAGATTTCCCCAAATCAGCTGTATCTTGTAAGGAGAAATCTCTCTAAAGAGTAGAAATAATGCTTTCTTTTATCTTTGGGAATCAGAAGGGACAAACTTTGAAACTGACTTTTATTACTTTAATAGGCTGTATTTACAACTCAAGTCAGGCAGCAGAAACAGTAACTGCTGCGATACTCACCAAGGAATTTCCTCCAGGGTATTGGCCAGCTTTCCATGTGATTCTGACTGAGCAGGTGGGAGGGTGGGCAAGGCCTTCGCACTCACTTTTGCCAGTGACTGGGCTTGACAAAGTGCAGACCCTGCAGCTCTGGCCACATGCCCACCGGATTTGGTGGTTGGGCTGTTCAAGCAGCCCTGTCCCATGTTCACTGTACTGAAGAGTGGAAAAGGGGCACAACATGTCATCAGTTCCACACTCTCACTTGCTCAGTGGGGAAACTGAGGCCCACAGGGGTCAAGAAGCACAAAGCCACAGAGCTCTGGCCCCAACCCACGCCTCCATGGGTCTGGCTATCTCAGGAGGGGAGCAAAGGTTCTGGCTGTGCTCAGAGAGGGGTCACAGGCAGACCCACCCCTACCCCCACCAGGTGGCAGCTCTAAACCCTTATCTCAGAGAAGGGCTTCCTCTGGGAAGAAGGCTCCTTGTCAGAGAGGAGGAAGACAGCAGGGACACAGCCCGAAGCATTGTTGCTGTTATCTCCAGCATCCCAGATATCGGGATAGGACCAAAATCACAGGACAGAACTGGGTGAGTCTCTGGGGGTCACTTTGGGAGCACTTTGGGACAGGCAAATCTGAGAGGACAGATTTCTCAGTGTCATCCCTCAAAACCATCTGGAGAACGTGGGCATGATCCTTGCTGTCCCAGAGCCAGAGTCCTGATTTAGAAGTTTGTCACCTCTGCTCTTAGGAGGGCCAAGCCTGCTGACCCTGGCCAGAGCCCTGAGCAGAGTGCTGGTCCATGGGTGCCTGGAGAGTAGAAGCCAGAGGCAGCGGCAGGACCTGCCCAGGGGCTTGCTGCGGTCTCTCCTAAAGTATCTGCTAACACTGCAGCACTCATATCGTAGCATCTGGCCCCTCTCTATTTGCAAAATGCTGCAGAATACTCCCTGGATCAAGATTGCCCCCAGTGGGCTGAAGAGGGCAGGATGGAGGGGTGGTCCTTGCAACCCCACCACTAGCCACGTGGCCTCAGGGTCACTAAGCCCCTCTCCAAGCATCAAGTTCTAAATCTGTAAAACGGGACTAAATATATTGCACCCCCTGATGGACCTTGAGAATTGCAAAAGTTACCCACTGAACTTGAGTGTTCTCTGTGAACACAGATCTCCTGCCAAGTGCTGAGTATGGAACATCTGGGCATGAGAATATTTTGGCAAGTCACAAATCTCTATTTCAGTTCATTTTTGTTCCATGGTGAGCATTTCTTAAAGCTGTGTTTCTCACCCCACTCCCACCCCAACAGAGTGAGTGTTCAATCAATTATCGTAAGTTTTTTTCTCATGGAAAACAATATGGATTTGATTAAAAAACCAAAATTTTTCCCAGTGCTTCTTCAAGACCTTTGGCTCATTATGTATGCAGCTCTTCCACCACATGGCTGAATCTACCTCCCTGCAGTCAATTCCCCCTTACAATTAATTTCCTAGGAAGCTTCATACAACTCCATTATTTCTTAAATTTCTGCTAAAGCTCTTGACCTTCACTTTCAAACTATGCTTTTTCTGATTGCAAAGATGCTTGTCATTTGAAGATATTAATACCATCTGCGTTTTATTTTATCTTATATTTGGGGCGTATTTGGTTCCCTTCTCCTGTAATGATTTTTAAGGCCGTGTTTAACCCAGTAGTGTAAATCTGTTTCTCTGCAGTCTCTGGGCTACCCATCTGGGTGTCCTCTGATTCACCTTCCTCGTGACAGAGACAGGGTCTCTGGCAAACATTCAGGCAGAGGTTAAATCTTCCTTTACCACTCAAAACTTATTCCAGACCTGCCTTGGAGTTTTCAAACTTGCTTCTATTCATTAAGCTCTCTTGGTCTTAGATTCCTTCCCATTGCTGCTGACAATAGTTTGGGATTTGTGGGGGACCCAAAACACAAGTATAACAGGCATAACTGGTACAACACAGGTATGACAGGTATTCCCTTTCCTACCTGAATTCCAGCCAGAACTCATGAACAGTCAGCGGAATGTGCAAAGTCTTTCAGTGTCAAGGACTTACAGTCTAACCATAAAACAATTAGCAAGGAAAGCATAATTTCAGAACTCTTATCTGGGAACAACCTACGTCTATATCTGTAGCCCAGAACTATTGGAGTAATACGATTCTGCCTTAGAACTTTGCCCATCATTTTTATGAGTTCCAAGTAGTGCAGTTGCTCATAGATAACCTGTTAGGGGAAACCTGTGCTTGTTCAGTTTCATCTTTTTTTTCCCAAAATGTGACTTCCGGCATTGCTCCCTAATCCCACGCCTTGTCACTATCATTATCATTGACCCCCTTTTTCTTTTTTTTTTTTTTTTCCTTTTTGTCTTTTTTCGTGACCGGCAACGGGATCGCAACCCTCGGTGCTGCGCCCGCACCTCGCTCAGCCAGTGAGCGGCCGGTCCGTATGTGGGATCCGAACCCTCGGCGGGAGCGCCACCGTGCTCCCAAGCGGAGCACTGTAGCAGTGCGCCACCAGGCCGGCCCTCATTGTCCCCTTTTTCAACCACGGTGGCTGACCATGATGAAAAGCTGTGGTAGCTGGTGAGGTCAGGGAAGGAGGGTTCTGCACAAACATCCTTATTAGAGAGTTGTCGTTTGGGTCATCTTGTTTCTGTCTGCCCAGCACCTACTACTTGAGGGACTTCCCCTTTCTGTGGGATCCTGGTCGCTACCAACCAAAGAATCCCACTTGTCCAGCCACAGGGAGGGCTCAGGGCCCCCGGTCAGCCAGGAGGCCACCCTTTCCCAGGATTTTGTATCCTGAGAGTAAAAGCACAGGGTAGGTTGACAGTGTCCAGCTCCTCAGATCCCCCAGGCCTAGCCTGGTTTCAGTCCTTCTCAAAAGCACGGTGTGCGCCGCCAGTGTGCATTTCTAAAATATTTCCTTCTTTCCCTTAACATTAGGCAGCGTAGTTTCTGTTGTTTGCAACCCTGCTCTGGTGTGGTGTCTATACTACATGTAGACCCTTCATTTTAAAATAATTCTTTTTCAATGAAATACCCAGGACTCTCCTAAACGGGTGAAGTACCGGATGCTACAGGACTCTGATGCCCCTGGTGACCTCAAGGCGCAGGTGCTGTCACTTCAGCGGCCCCCTGTGCTGCTACTCTCTCATCTGTGCCCTCTTTACAGAGTGCTGTCACACGAGTGGACTGGAAAACAAGGGGAGCGGGGCACAAAGCACCCAGTGCAGAGACGGAGAGCCAACCTCGGCACCCCCAGTAGCAGGTGCCTTGACAGTTCCAGGAAGCTGCCTCATGGATTCCTCACCTTTGGAGTCCACCTCACCAGCCCAGCCTGGGTCCTCTCCAACTACCTTTGTCCTTCTATTTGAACACTCTGGCCTGAAAAAGTAGCCCAACAGCCCCTGCAAACATATGGAAACTAGAACTGCCCTTCCTCCCCACCTCCAACACCACCACCACCCCCGTGTCACAAGGGAGAAGAGACAAGCCTGGGAGGACTAGAAGGACAGCAGGTTTCTCATCCACCTGGTGCCATGGACTCACTGTCCCAGAATCCAGGAGAGGCTAGAGCAGCCACACACACTCCCTTCTCCCCACTCCCAACCGCCAGCTGCTCTTTAACTGCTGACACTAGCTCAGTGAGAACAGACTGGAGTGGCCCATGGACCCAGGCAGGGCAAGCCCTCCCGTGCCACCCAGCCCTGCCCAGCTGTGCTTAGGGTGGATGATGTTTCTAGTCTTTACGCGTGGATTCAAGTTTCAGCTCAGCGCATTCAAAGAGGCTCAGCCTTCCAGCTCACCCCGCCTCTGCTGCCTGGCTGGCACTTACAGACCTTCCCTACCAGAAGGGCTGCCCACCCCAGGCCCAAGGAGAGCACTCCTGAGCCACCCACACTGGTGACCGGGCCTTTCACTCTTGCTGACAGTGCAGGTGGATGAAGGGTCCAGGTCCACTGCTGGCTGGGCTCTAGGGGCTAAATGCTAGGAAAACTTTTTCCTTAAATCTCTTTCTTCTCACAGTCATTACTGACAAACAGCAGCGAGTGCTGGTGAGACGTGGAGCAACTGGAACTCTCACAGTGCTTGTGGGAGGGAATGTGAAACGGCACAAACGCACAGGAAATAGGCCTGGAGATTTTTTTTTTTTGAGATGAAGTCTATATAACATAAAACTTACTGTTTTAAACATTTTGAAGTGTGCATTCAGTGGTATTAAGTACACTGACAATGTCGTGCAGCCGTCACCACCATCCATCTCCAGAACTTTTTCATCTGTCCCATCAGAAATTATACCCATTAAGCAACAGCTCCCTATTCCCTCCTTTGCCTGAGATCCTGGTAGCCACTGTTCTACTTTCTGTCTCTATGAATTTGACTACTCTACATACTTCATATAAGTGAAATCATACAGTATTTGTCCTTATGTGCTGGAAGGTTCTTACATAAATGTACATGATGTAACAACACTCCCATGATGCAGCAAATCCACCCCTAGGTATTTACCCAAAAGAAATGAAGACATATGTTCACACAAAAGTGTATACACAAGTGTTAACAGCAGCTTGATTCATAACAGCCTCAAACTGGAAATGATCTAAATGTCCATCAACAGGAGGCTGGATAAACAAATTGTACATATATTCATAATAGA